TAAGAGGCTTACGACTCCTCTTTTTATCGCTACTACCCTTAGACGCCATTGTAATTACACTGTAGTAACACAAAAATATTATATAAATATACAGTTTGTAATAACTGAAAAATTGCCAGAAATACAGAGAGACAAGGAGCGCACAAAAGCTGTAAACAGACTAAATCAGTGACGAGAAAATGGCGCCGGACACACTTCTCTGACTCAGCTGTTGAGCGCCGTATTAGCGGATCGCCATAAAGCGGAGCGCCGAAAAGCGGGGCCCTACTGTACATCTGGTTTTTGACTTAGAAATTTTAAGAGTTTGATTTTTGTTGTGCAGAGTGTACGTGTTACTTTCACTGCCACTCCCATAATTTTCCATATGTTGCTGCTTACTGATCACTGTGCTTTTGTATAACAAGCTTAGTCATTATGCATACTTATTTCTGTTCATTTTGTCTGCAACAAAGCAATATTGATGAGATTCTTGCTTTCATTCAAATCCCCACATTTACTTTTGAAAGTGGAAGTTCTGATAATTGGAAATTATACTGTTAGGTCATCCTGATCAGTTACTAATGTACCTTAAACAGGTTTTATGCTACCCGAGTTTTAAGACTGTAGTGGAGTTGAATATTGCCATTTTAGTCTTCTTAATCGTGATGCTGCCTAGTGTCGCGGTGCTGACTATTGCTTCGAACGAACACGTCTCCATGTTCAGGGTATACTTATTGTGGTGCAGGGATTCCTGGTTGGTGTGATGTAAATAAGTACCCCAAAGGTGATTGCAGTTTGTTCCTGTGAAATGTTGAACACATCTGCAAGACTACACATGGTATCATAACCCAGAAGACCACAATTCAGATTCTGCGTCCTACTGACTAATGCTTTACGTCATAACCCTTATTATTCCTGTGCTCATAGTTGTATTTTCTTTGTAGTTTAAAATTGTAATATAGCAGCAACACAGAGCAGTCATAGTTTAAATGTACTGATAAAAATAATATTAAGATCAGTCTTAGTGTATTTTGTAATTTTTGTAGGTTCTCATTCCACCTAAGGATCTGATGTTTCGTTTGAAAGATGAGTGCAGCTCAATGAGTACAATTTTGGACCAGGTGAAGTATCGATCGGAGTGGATCAAGTATCAGGAGGCTCAAAGACGTAAAGAGGAAGAGGAACTTGAGAAAGAAAGGGGTAGGTTTCATCACATTGCATGCCAAGTTGAAATGATGCAGAAAAATTATTTAAAGAATATCTTAAAATCTCTTAACCCTTTGCGATCCCTTTTAAATACCACTTCGGCTCTCTGCAGGTCTATTTAAATACCACAAAGCTGTATAAATTCAACTACTATTATGAACTGGTTTGATTTTCTTGTATAACTTGCATTAAATGTAAGGAACTTTTCTAAATATGGTGAGAATGTGTTCTGAAACGATCACAGTTCTTTTTGTTTGAATACTGACCATGTGAAATATTTTTCACGGACTGTACCACTGCCACTAGTGAGATGTGTAATAAGTGGTGCCTTTCTGCTTCCTGTCATTCAGTAGACAAGAAAGCAAGTCAAAGTTGGTAGATATGACTTTGGCGACGTCTAAACATCTCTTATTGCGTGCAGATATACGATGTATAAGCATTGGATTTCATATTCTCAGAGCTGTGCTTCCTTTCGCACTAATTGTGTTCGAAAGTTCAAAACCAAATTGAACACCAGGAAATTGAAACAGAACGCGAAGTGTAAACGATGAACTCATTACACATAAAGAATGCTTGATAAGAAGATGAAAGAATATGCACATGTCAGTGATAGATTGCTCTATGCACCAAAAATAATTTAAAAAATATAATTTCCTACTAGGAAGATTCGATATTTGTTTTATATCTTTATCAGATATAAAATACTTATATTCTAAGTAAATATGACAGCAACACACCTGATGGTATTACTTCACTGTATGATGTATGGTAAAACATTTGGTGTGGAATCCTGGCTTCCTTGGACACATTTCAGAATAAAATGACTTTTCTCTCCTGCCTCCTTTCACTATTATCAGGTACACAAAGTCTTACCAGGAAAACTAGGATAGAACTAGTGCAAAGAAGAAGGCTTGAATGATATGCTGACACTGTTTGCCAGCCTCAGTTTGACTCTGGATCACGTAAAAAATGCGTAAAATACGTGGCGGACTCAGTCCGACATCAGACCAGAACTCTGATATTTAAATGTTGGACTCAGTCTGACAGAGACCGCAAAGGGTTAAATATATTTAAAACATTGCTTGAAATGTCCAACATATGTTGTACAAAGTTAGGAACAAGAAGATTAATAACATAATATGCCAATTTATATCATTATTTTTATTTAATTATTTAATGATACAAATTCACATTTATTCCAAGCAGTTCTTTCAGAATCGTGTCCTTTCTTTGCTGTGTGCATTCTACTTGCAGTTGCTTATGCCCAGATTGACTGGCATGACTTTGTAGTAGTGGAGACAGTGGACTACCAGCCGTTCGAAATGGGGAACTTCCCCCCTCCAACTACACCTGATGAAGTTGGAGCTCGTGTTCTAATGCAAGTATGTGTTTAGCTTCATGTAACATTCTTTCATTCTGTGGAGTTCGGTCTTGAATAATGCCTTCATCCATGTTAGTTCACTTCAGTCTTGATCTTAAGCAACAGTCCCATTTAGTTTTAATAATTTTCACTATATGGTTATTTTTTCTGATTATGAAGTAACTGAATCTCTAAACTGGAAGATTCACATTGGACCATGTCCTTAGCCAGCTGAGTCCATCCTGTTTTCTGGGATTCATTTTAATATTAATCTGCATGCAGAATTCACAGGAAAAGGTCTGGGAAACCATTAGAGGGAATCATCCTACTGCAAGATAATGCACATCCACATATGGAAAATTTGACAATAATGCTAGCAACCTGAGAAATCTTCAACCAACCTTTTTACAGTTTGGATTTAGCCGATAGTGGTTATGACTTGCTTATGCCAGTGAAGGAGCATCTGGGAGGGCAGAAATTCAAGACATGTCCTGAATTGGCTATGCAGTCATCTTGTTCCTTCTTTGCTGCTGGCATCAGTGCCTTGCCATGCGATGGCAAAGGTATGTCAATGTAGGGGGACAATATATTGAAAAGGAATAAGAATTTTGTGATTTTGACATGCATGTCTTGTGTGTGTGTGTGGGAGGGGGAAATAAAATAAATAAATAAATAAATCACATCAGCCTTGAACCGCCCTCATACTTGACCTTTCAGCAACATTGTCTGAAGAACCTGATTGGAGAATGTACTGACATAATCCACTTGAGTCATCTACTATGACCCAAAAACAAATGCCATAGTAGATGATGTCTGAAGACCAAATTGTCTGAAACTAAAAACTATTTGAATGTTGACAGCAACGGTCAAAATCTTGTTAATTTTTTCAATACTAAAGGAATTATCTATTCTGATTTTCTTCTAACAAAGCAAGGTCAAGCATTTTACCTTCAAGGTTTGGGATGTTTAAGGCAGTGAATTTTTTTAATTTTTTTTTTGGCTTGATCTGCCTTTCCACACACTACTTTCAGAAAAGTGAATTTTGGCCAAAAAACAGTACCATAAGAGGAAACAACATTATGAAAATCATGCTTATATTTTGAACCATTGATCCTAAAATTTTGAAATACAATGTGTTCACATGACTTCAAATCAGATAGCCAAGAAAACGCCCCCCCCCCGCCCCCCCAAAGAGCCATTCAAACAAGTGTTATTTTTTTATAGAACAAAATATATAATACAGGGTGTATATAAATTACTTTTACAACTTTGCTCATAAATAAAATGTTTATGAAAAGACACAGGCTTACTTGTTAAGTGTCATCTCCAAGAGAAACTCTCAAAGTTTGTCATGAATATTACAAGCATGCAACATGGGCACCATTTGTCACACACAATGCCCAAATCATGTTCAAGCTCCATCCTTGTCAACATCAACTGTTGCAATAGCAGGCAGTTCTGTCCTTCAGATTGTTGATATCAGCCACCAGAGTTTGGTACACGCAGTCATTTACATGTCCCCATAGGAAAAAATGACAGGATGTGATATACAGTGATCTGGCCGGCCAAGAGATGGGACCAGCTCAGCCAGTCGATTGGTTTGGAAAATGCCTTTTAATTGATGCACACATGGTCCAGCTCCAGTGTGTTGGTGCATCACCTTGCTGGAAGAATATGGCAGTCTGCTGTTCTTGTAACTGTTGATAGACAAAGTTTTCCAGCATATCCGGGTAGTTGCTGGATGTCACAGTCACTTCAGCAAAGGAAAAGGGTTCGATCACACCACACATTAACTTAGTGCTGTCTCTAATGTGCTTCGTTATAGCATGAGGGTGTCCTGATACCTAGATGAATATGTTCTGTTTGTTTACCTTCCATGAAACATGGAATGTAGCCTTATCAGAAAATGTGATTTTACTCAGGAGTTCATTGTCTTCATCAAATTTCTCAAGCATGGTCACTGCAAATTCCTTATGGGCTACTCTATCATCTGGTGTAATTGCCAGCACCGCTTGCAACTTATAAGTATACAGACACAAACGTTTTTGTAGCACCTGATGCATTGTCGATTGTAACAGGAATTTGCATCTATGTGGATTGTGGGAAATGATCCTGTATATTCTTTTGTCATTATCATCAGACACATGAATGCCCTGTTCCTTTCTTTTGCAAAACACTTCCAGTTTCCTTAAACTGTTAATGCCTGCCATGTATTGATGGCGGTGTCTTGTGATATATCGTTCTGATTTGTCTTTGGACCTGTGTATCCAACTTCATCTCAATAAATCACTCCACACACTGTCCTTATCCTGCAGGTTCATGGTGACTGAACTGATTCACAAAGATGGATACAATAAGAAAACAACGGGTGCTACTATCTACTGGAGGAGCTGCAGTAGCTCAATCAGTATAGTGATTGACTATGGACTGGATGACCGAGTTAGATCCCCGACAGGGATAGATGATTTTTTCTTTTGGCCTCTGTATCCAGACCAGCTCTGGGATCTATCTAGCCTCCTGTCCAGTGGGAACCAGGGTCCTTTCCTGAGGGTAAAGCGTAGCCAGGGCACCCTATCTAGTGCCGAGGTTAAGAATGAGTAGGAGCTACACCCCCTTTTCACACAAGTGCCTATATGGCGCATAGCGAGACAGCATTACTTTTTTACCATCTGCTGGGAACTCTGTGAAACTTTGATAGTTTCACAAGCAGTGACCTGTTCTTTCATAAAGGTTTTATTTGCAAGTAAAGTAGTAAAAATAATTTGTATGCACTGTGTGCTTTGTTATTAATCATGTGACAAACAAAAAGTGTACACCGGCAGAGATATCTGTCAGACTGAAGTATTTCTAAGTTCAGTTTTCTGTATAATCATAAAGACATGGATGCAGTTTAGCTAAACCTCTGATAATATGGGATAGAATATATAGTATGGTAGATTGTTACAGGGGAAGAGGTTAAAGGCCAGTGAGATAGATATTGGCCAGACTGTAACATGTCTAAACAACCGCTAAGCACTGAGTGAAGGGTGACCAAAGTGTGCTTGTACTTTATGCATCACATGGCACTCTCAGTGTAATTAGTGTGTCCATTACATGTTAAAGACACAACAGAGGGGTGATAATACTGAAATAACTTGTAGTTTGACTTCCAAAAACGTCTTCAGGCAATGTGGTAATTGTAGAGTATTATGGGGCCCTTCCCAAAAAGAAAATTATTGATAAGAAAAATCAAAAGAGTAAATTAAATTTTTACAAATTTTGTTTTCACTAAATTAAACTTGCATGGATAAGCTCAAAGGGAAGGGCACCAGTACTTTACGTTTACCAACAATGTAATCTATTTGAAGATATCCGTCTTCTGGGTTGTTGCACTGTGTAGTCTGGTTGATGTTAACCAACGTTTCAGAGGTCATACTGCCTCCGTCATCAGGGCGATGAATATGCCAATAAGGTGTGAGGTGCTAGGTTTATAGGCCGGAAAGTGAAAGGTGTAGCCTGCCCCGAGCCAATGGGAGCAGGCATGGGAGTGGACCAATGGTAGCACGTGGGCGAGAGTGGGAGAGGGAGAGAAAGTAAAGAGAGAAAGGTTGAGTTTGGTTGTATGGATCAGGGCCCTAAAAAGGGCCATGTTAGTGGTCTGGTTGGTTCTGGCTCGGGGCAGGCTACACCTTTCACTTTCCGGCCTATAAACCTAGCACCTCACACCCTATTGGCATATTCATCGCCCTGATGACGGAGGCAGTATGACCTCTGAAACGTTGGTTAACATCAACCAGACTACACAGTGCAACAACCCAGAAGACGGATATCTTCATACTCACCGCTGTGAGAACCTCAAATCTTACAATGTAATCTATTTACATACATAATCTAACTACTGTAATTTCTGTTAACACTGTTTAACTCAGTTGCAAGCACAGTACAGTACAACCCCTCTATAACGCGGTTCGCTATACCGCTGTTCCAGATATAATGCGGGTACCTCGTGTCCCCCATAGTGCAGCAAAAAAAAGAAAGAAGTTCATCAATTATCCTTCACACAGAACTCAAAATTATATTAAAATGCAAGCCAAATTAATTATTTATCACTTTTTACATAAAAATCAATCATAACATAGTCAAATAAGTATGTATACTCTTAAATGGTGATAGTCTATCAATACTGTACGTACCGTACAGTACATCCTGTACTTGTACAGATTTTTCTGATGCGCTCCCGTAATAACGCGGGTTTACCCCTGTCCCCCGTGACCCGGGTTATAGTGGGGTTGTACTGTACTGACAAAGTTAAAACTGTACCAGCAATATGTACTGTAGTCCAGTGAAGGTTTCAATGAAAGAATAACTATACACTTTCACTGCATTACAGTGATGTGTTCAAAGTCTCACACCCTCAACCATAAGCTAATCCTCAGGTAGAATGCATTCATCAGTCAGAAATTCAAAATAACAAAATACTAACTGTAAATGTTTCCCATAAAAGCATTGAAGCTAAGTGCATACATGCACCTGTCCAACTTACAACAAAAGGGGTGACCAAGTTCCAGGATAAAGGGATGTCCAAGATATAGGGTGTTGTGGACATGTAAAATTATAGGATATTCACCGGTTCCAATTAAAAGTGTCCAACTAGAGGGGTTTTGCTGTATATTGTATGAAATATTTTTGCAGTGGTGTAGCACCTTATTTTAGGGTTTCTAGGAAAATGTATAATATCGTGATGTAGTTGGTGATCATACAGTGGGTTCTTTGTTTAAAAACACTAGAGAGATCTATTTCACTCTGTTACAATTGATAATTTCCTGGATTAATGTGTGTCGCTTCACTAATCAGCCCTCATATCGAGAATAATGTTCTTCTCGTCTCCTGGCACCATGTCACAATCACTGTACTGAGCTTTCTCTGTCACTAAATTTTGTAAATCCTTCGTCTTGGTCTTGCTTGTCAGTTACCTGCGTCTTGTCATGTTATTTTCCTTGTTAAATCTGACAGGAACGTATTGAAGAAGGTGACGAGATTGAGATGCAAATTGAAAGTGAAGATGAGGTAGAGGAGGAGGAGGAAGACGAAGCTGAAGAAGAGGACAAGAGGGGAGAGGAACAACAGGAGGAGGAAGAGGATCAGGAATCCAAAGAGGCAAAGGACAACACACAGGTGATAAAATTTCTATTTTGTTATGAACTGAAGTTTTTAATCAAGAAAGAGTCCTTTGGCTTTGTTTGGTTTCTTTCTTGTTTGGCAGAGACTAGTCAAACTCCTTTTGATTTTGTGGAGGGTATTTTGGCTGTTATGAATAATGATTTCTGAAATGATTAAGATCCCTGTTGTTTCAAATCTCACCATCATAAGTTAATCATGCATATTGAGAAAGAGTTATCATTTTCTGCCATTTATCTCTTAATTTTTTAAACTTATAATTCTGTCCTGGTTCAACTGCACTACAGCTGTTCCTCTCACCACTGTCTTTGTTAACATCATGTTTGGTGGCAGTGGTTGCCACTTACCATAATGTTGACTCCCTGCGAGATTCAGCTGCCAGCTGGTTCAGTCTTTGAGCTGTGGTTCACTGGGATTGTTTCATAGGTTTATGTGGATCATGGTAGTTGAAAATCATGGTCAGTGACATGATTAGTTGAGGGTTGTGCCAGGTATTTATGGTTGTAATGGTGCCAGTGTTCACTGGAGGCTGCCAGTCGAGATGATACGCCGTGTGCTGATGAACACTTTATTTTAACTGAATGATTGTCAAATCCTGCTCAACACTGAGCTCCACATCTCGAATGTTCTCCACGCTGTTGCACATTACACAATATTACACTGGCTCATATTGTTATTCATGGTACAGTAGGGCCCCGCTTTTCGGCGCTCCGCTTTATGGCGATCCGCTAATACGGCGCTCA